ACCCATCTGTGTCATATGAAAATAGTTATATTTGTTACAATGTGGAAAGTAAAGCTCATCCCAAGGCAAAACTCTGTTGTCTTTTAAGCTGGTAGGACTACCAAAATTATTGAGATTGCACTGGTATAACAGAGAAAAGAATGGCATCCTTTCTGGTAAATCAATCAGAAAATAACACCAGCCAGATACAAGGCTACATTGACCACTTCTCCCTTGCTGAAATCTCCCAGGAAACCCCAAGTGTTTGCTGTAAACTAACCAGTGTTTCAGTATCATACACTAGTCTTTATAAACGACTTCCACCTCCCACCAATTACTTCCTCTTTCATACCATTCATTTTTTGCATTTCCTCTAATTTTTGTTCTCTTAATCTTTATTTATGGAATGGGTTCTAGACAGAAACACTATTTGTGTTCATACTTACTGAAAATGTCTCTGCTGCCTTGTGAAATGCAGCTGAGAGAAACCTTAATTCGATAAGAATTATTGTTTTGCAAAACGAGTATTGTTACATTAGCTGAGCACTGTATTTAAATTGCTTTTTGTTACAATAGGTCTCGCTTGGACTATTTGGATAGTTCAGTACTGTATGTGGTAAGGTAGAATTGCACTAATAAAATCAAGCTGCAAGTACATTTCACCTGCCATTTGGTACTTTCAGTGCTTCATAATTAACTTTGGTCAAAAATTACCCCTTCAAGCCCAAGGGATTAATTCTCCCTTAACTATATTTGTGCATTACAGGAAAAACAGTCAACCCTTGGTTTCCTGGCCTTGGATGAGCGGTTTAGTGCATTTTTAACCTAAAATAAGTGTGGATGAATTCCAGGTGTGTGCTTGCCCCTCACGGAGTGCATTTCATGCCGTCTGATTTCTTTTTATTTAACTCTGGGAACAGAAATGCCCTAAACCAGGCTTCCTTGCTCCAGGTGCCTCTGCCCAGCATGACCTGGCCATTAAGGAGGCACCTACGCCAGTTCTGAGCCCAGGGACCTGCTCCCACCAGGAGCCCAAGATGGATATTAATACACAGCACCCATCCAGCGTACACCCTCCCAGTTTCCAGCACTTAGCAGTTTAACAACATCCTCCCGATAATTTTTCTTATATTGGATCACCCACTTTTTTATCCCCTCCTCCTAAATTATTTTCTTTCTTCCTTATTCACTGGCTAGTCTGGCCCTTATCCCTCACCTTGGAGGATCTGTCAGTGGGAATGAAAGCAGTGATCTTGTTAGCCTCCTTGGCATACATTTGCCTTTTGGAAGAAGATAAATAGAGGAAGGCAGGTGATTCCTGCCAGCGTCAAGGAGAGGCTCTCAAGACAGGCTCTTACCAAGTTACCTGGGTGCTACTAAAACAATCCAGTGACAAAAGGTCATCTTGAATTCAACTTTTATACACAGACAATCACATTACTGTATGTCAAAGAAACCAACCTGCATTAAAAAGAGTCAATGCAGATGAGTACAAATATTTCAATGTCCAAACAAATCTCCCAAGCCCTCCCCCTAAACTACTTTGGGATGATACTGAATGGCAATGTTAAACGTTCCAAGAACTTGAAAATAATTTGAATTTGTTTGCTTTCCTTTTTACTGTTTTTGACCAGTTTAGAACCCAATGAACAACTACCAAAACTTTCAGGAGTCTAAAATTACATTAAATAAGTAAAAACACGGAAATGTTCACAGAAGTGTATCAAATAGTTTTTCAACCATCTTTAGTTCTTAGGTCATTACTAAAGAATATTCTAGATCCCAAATAGGAAACATGAACCATTAATAACACCCTGCACTAAACAAGACATTTTCCTGCTACAACTGATACTGAATAGGATTGGTTTAGGACACATGAGCCTGTCTGCAGCAAAGGAGAGCACCTCCTGAGAAGACTCAGCAGCAAAGTCCAGACCTGGTTCAAACAAGCACCAAACCAATTCTTGCAGCCTTGTGATGGGCTTAGCATGGAAGCAAAAAGCTACGCGCGTATCACCACCAGAATTTCCTCCATCTAAACCATTGCAGATGAAAGCGTTTTAAAAAGGGCACTCAGAAAAGAGGACCACACCTTGTCTGTTCTCCAAGATGATGACCACCTTGTAGAGCAGCCGGTTACTAATAAATGAATTATGAACTGAAGACCATTCGTCAGCTAAACGGGGACAGAAAGTCTGTTGAGAACGTGTGTGCTGTCACTTGGAGCGTGTCAGTCTTCGTGACACATGGGCATGACTGAAGGCCTTTGGGAGATGGGAGGAAAAGAAGGAAAGAAACAGAGATGACTAGCATGATGGCGTACTGCCTATCTTGCTGGGGAGATCTGTCTGTTAAGGAGAGGAGGAAGGGAAAGAAGACATACAGATGGTCTGACTCCCAGTGGTGACAGGAGCAGTTGGTCCCCTCTCTTTCCAATAGTGACAGTCGCTGTCACCTTATTTTGAAGTCTCCTAACAAAAAAGTGGGAGCCAGTATGGTATTGAAAAGAGCAAATGGATAAACCACGTAACTAATCGTAACCACTTGGTCTAGGAAGAGCGATGGAGGCTGGGGGCGCCTGCCGACAATCGCCAATAGCTGAATGTGCACTTTCCTACCCCCAGAACTTCAGCCTAAGGAGGAAAGAAAGTTTGCACTATTTACTACAGAAGAAGGTCTTTTAGAGTCAAGCCGGCTACTGAGTGCATGTTTACAGTGCTGCTTTCCTAGCAATGTATGACAGCTCGGGACCCATAGGCTGCCATCTCATTCAGTCCCATTTCATTGCAGCATCTTTTTAAATAGGCCAAAAGGACACCTTATGCACACACTCCGCTATCAAAATAGGAAGGTACCAAAAAATGTTCACCCAGAGTAAGATTATTTTCTCTATTAACTCTGTACTGCACCCAAAAGGCACCATTTTACCTAAGAAGCAGCCACTGCTCCAACATGTAGAGAGAGAGATGGATGGTTCTGGGTTTGGGGAGGAACAGAGCATTTGCTCTTGGGAAACGTTGCTTTCTCTACACAGTGCTACCATTGGCTCTCTTTTTCTCAGCGTGGTGGAAAAATAATTTATTTTTGCCAAGATGAAATTTTCAGAAGCACACAAAATGTTTTAGGACCCTGTGGGACTTTTTTTTCAAAGTAAATCCTATCCAATGATTTTCCCTTAAAAAAAAGAAGAAAAAGAAAAAAACCCACCAGATTTTTACAGGATTTTTTTCACCTAGTCCACTAATTTCAAACCAAGTCAGTTATCTAACAGCTCTCTACATAAAACAAGTGAAATAACAATTTGAATTTAAAGCAGATCAAATATACTGAATCAACCCATTGAATGGATACTGCCATTAAGTAATTTCAATTTCATTTAGCTTAATTCTCTTTGGAACAGAAGCATACTTAATCAGATTAAGGCCATTTTAATTCACATTTGTCCCCTCCAATATGACACCCTACACTTATTTGGATTAAATTCCCCTCCCATGTTTAGAAAAGTCCTAAGTAACCACAAACTTGGACCTAAATCTTGCATCTCTCTTGCACTACTGAAAACGGGACCTGGTTTTGTAAGTTACTTAGATGCTATTGGATATTTTAGCCATGATCTTGCCTTTTTTTTTCTTTTCCCTGAAAATGTCAGCGAACATGGGTTGTGCCTGAAAGCCTTTGTCACCTGAACCTCACCTGCAAATCCACCCACCCGCTGACTGCTTCGTTTGCTTGCTCTGCTCGGATAAATGGAGGGTACGTGTGCTCTGCACCACCGCACCCTGCCCTCCTGGGGCTCCTTCCTCCACAGCAGACCCTGGAGCTGCCCTGGCAGTTGCGTCAGGTTGAGCAAAGCCCCTGTCTCCTCTTTTTTTAAAGGAAGTATGCCAAGGTTGGGAAAACCACAAGGCAGGGTTAAAGTCACTGCATGGAGAAAGAGAACGTAACTTTCATAACAAACCACTGCACTTGTCTGACATATGGTCCCTAGAGTGCAAAATGGGAACAATTAGTGTTTCCAGAGAGAAACTGAAAGATATTGGTAGACCCAAGGGAAGGCAGCCGGGATATTCTTCATCTTCCACAGTGATCTGGCTGGGTCATAACTATCCCTGGTATTAAAGCAGAGAGAGTTAATGAGAGGTCCTCTCCCATCTCAGTGCAGCCACAGTAAATCTGCAGCGCTCCTGCACAACTTCAGCTCTCTGAAGATTGCTTCATCCCCAGCAGTTTCCAGGAAAGGGGAGTCTACAACCCAAGACCTAAGGACAAGATGTCCTTCTGGAGATTTTTTCACATTTTCCCTCTCTCTCTTTTTCTAAGGAAGGGTAATTAGAACATTGATGAAAAACCCCGACAGCCCTTTTGGTCAGAAGATATCAGGAGATTCAGTCAATAATTTGTTAGGCCATATGATTAACCTCTTTTCAGGGACTAGTCATCCAAACTAACCTGTAGTGCCACACTTTTTTTTTTTATATATATAAAATAAATATAATGCCCAGCATTAGCTTGAGGGCAAAGCTGGTTCTCAGGAGCTGTGCTGTTTATTCCCTCCTGATACATTGCTGTCAGCACGCGGCATCTCTGCGAGTGTCAGCAGCTACATGCAGGCACAGCTAGACCCTGTGTGGGTCAGGGAGACTTTGCATTTCTGCAAGACAGATGATGCTGGAGAGCTTTATCTTTTTGCCTGCTGCTACTCCCTGTGATTCAGCATGGACTCCAGTACCTCCCTGCATAACCAGGAAAAGATTTCTCTATTTCTTTTCAAAGGCTGAGCCAAGGGTAAGCAGAGCATATTACAGAGGAGAAACTATGCTCTCATGACCCGTGATTGCCTCTAGCTCAGTCATATCACATGTAAACACAGCACATCCCTTCTCTTCCATGGCATCCCCTTGGTGATGCCTTCCAAAGCGAACCCCCAAGCTCTTATGCAAAAGCAGAAATGATGCCCAGCAGTATGCACAACTCCAACAAGGCGCCACTGAGTTACCGTTAAACCATATTCCAAAGTTTACCTTAGTTCCTTGAAGGGGTCTGCCCTGACATTGGGAGTTTCTATAGATTTAGGGAACACTGTGCCTTCTGCTCCTGAAATCACAAAACAAAACAGAAGACAAATTGTAAACATTATAAGCTGTTATCAGGGGAGTGATTGAAAATCATACCTAGGTGCAATTTAACCCGTCCACTGACCCCACTTCTCTCTTGCACACATCCCTTCTGTCCCCAGGTAACACCAGACCTTGATCATCTGAAATTCGTTGCCTTTATTACAACCGGCATTTGCCTGCAAATCGCACTTCTGGCTGTAAAACCAGCTGCTTGTGCCCTGACTGGGGTGTTTGCCGACCCAACTGATGCAGGGAGCTTGGAAAAGCTACCCCCCCTTGGTAACCGGGCATCTAATCCAGCTACATCCCTCACTAATGAACCTGGATGCATGTCATGAAATTATTTCTTTTGCTGGGCTCTGAGAGATACTCAAAGGAGAAACCTGAATTTTGGGTTGATCACTGCAAACGTCTCTCAGGTCAGGCTGTGCTCCTGCCTGGGGAAAAGGAGGGAGGTGTCCACCGATGAAATGCAGTACAGGCAGGCAGCAGGCTCTGCTCTAGTCCCAGCCCAGCCACCAGTTTGATGTCCAACCCAGAAGTCAGTTAACTTCTGCTCATTTCCCCAACTCTTAGAGATGGCAGGGAAGGCAGCACTATCCCCATTTGTTGAGTGTTTTTAGATCATGAGCTGTAAACTGCTAGGCAATATGAACAGCTTTCCTAAGTTTCAGGCCACTGCAATCCTCTTATGTGACCACCTGCACAGCCCAGGTTGGGCCATTTCACCCAGCCATACCTGCATCGGGTTCATATTTGTGACCAAGCCATGCTGTGTCTCTCTAGAAAGATGTGCTCTCTCAGCTTCATTGTTTTAAGCCAAATGCAGCCCATGCCATCCTCTAGTAAGCCTTTCTCCTAATTTTCTAATTTAAAAATATGCATCTAATCTGAATGGGTCTCACTTCAGCTTTCAGCCACTAAACCTTCCCATGTCCTTGCATGCCAGCCAATTTGCCCTGCATAAGCAGACCCTCCACCTTCTGTAGGTAGTTACCAATGATGACCTAACCACCCCAACCTTCTATTTTATTCTCTGAAAAGTTACGGCTTTCTGAATCATTCACTGTGAAGCAGATTTTCTGGACTTCTCATTGCTCTTTTCTGAACCCATTCCACTTTTAAAGTACTCTGCTGGGGCACAGGAGTCCCCAGATGCTGTCACCGATGCTCTGTGCTGCAGAACGTCACTGTCTCGCTCCCACTGAAACTTCCCATTCAAACACAGCTAAGAATGGTATTAACTGCCTTACACACAGCAGTACACTAGAAATTAATGTTCTCTCACATATAGCTACCTACCCAGTGAGCAAGTATGACCTATATTCCTAAATCTAGACCTGTGGTCTTGTGTTCAGATGTATTGTGAACAATTAGTCATTCGTTACCTGTAGTCATCACAGCAATTTCAGTGCCACTATGCAAATGGCACCAGTGGCATTTTTTTACTTCCTTATTTTTTTCTTTGATAAAGCTATTGGTGCAAACTACAGATCCTGATGAGACCTTTTACATATACTATTTGAGATCTCTCTTAACATGTGCTGTTATAATTGTTACCTATGTGCAGTCTGGAAGTCACCACTATAGTAAAAAAATGTTCTGAGATGATGCAAAACATGTTAATACAACATCCTTCTGTAACTTCAGCTATAAGTGAGAAACACCTGTGGGTTCAATAAGACTACTCTTTCTTTGCACTGAAATAAATTAACTAAGCTGTCCCACTGTGTTAAAGAAAAAAAATCAGAATGAAAATAAGCACTCTAACATTTATTAAAAAAACACAAAACTCCTTTTTAACCTAGAGAAAAACAAAGTAATGTCAAAGATGATAAAAGCAGTCTAAAGTTTGAAGCTTTATACTTGGGAATTGAAATTGATCCTATGGCACAATACAGATATTTAGCTCTTAACTTTACTCTAAGCCTTCATTGTTACAAGTTGTCAAAAGCAGCTGTAACTTGCCAGCCATGAAGGTTATTATTATCAGATCTGTCCTCTCTCAACAGTTTCCAAATGATTTAAGTCTCTGCTTATCCACACAATTGCCTTGGCTATTAGCTTTGCAATGAAACTTAGCAAAAGATGCAGCCTGCACATATCTGCATAATAAAACAATGATTTTCGAGGGGAGGAAGATGAGGAAGAGCAGCTGGAGAGGTGCACATAGATATTCTTGCACCCTTTCCACCTGTATGGCTTAAATGGTGACTTTATGCTGGTAATTTTAATTCATTTTTACACACTTCAAGTCAGCTACTTAAGTTACACAAAGCCCAAAATAATGATCTGCATATTACCAGAAATGCCTGCAGAATAAGGAGAAACTTTAGCACATTTCTAATGACTTGGGGTTTTCCAAGCTTTCATTATTTATTTTAAATGCAGGAAGCAACTTTGGAAACAAAACCAGCGAAGACTCCAATGCAGTCATTTCAGGAAGGCTGAAAATAAAAAAGCCCGCTATTCCTTTCTGCCACCTCCTTGTTTTCCTTTCCCT